TGGAGCGAGTCCTCCAAACACCCTTTACTTGGTGTTCCCTTCTTTATCTGAGCTGCGTTTTCCCCCAGCATGTGCTGCCGGCTTCCAAGCGTGGGAGCTAACGTCCTGGTACTTATCTCAAGTATTCTTGGGTGTTTGTCTCCCATTCTGTTACTTTAGATTCCCCAGATTAGTGCAGTCTTTCTATGTCTGTCCCTCTCTTTCTGACTCATTTCACTTACCATGATATTTTTCATATAGAAACACTTGTTTGCAAATTTCATGACTTCATCCTTTCTAACTGCTGCATCGTATTCCATTGTGTAGATGTACCAAAGTTTCTTTAACCAGTCATCTCCATGAACTGCCTTGTAAGTGTCTATCTTGCAGTAATTCACTAAAAGAAATTTTAATTCAAAAAAAGAGAAAAGGGACAATGAACTAGGAAAATGAATCCTTGTATCTGACAACAGAACTGATGTTGTTAAGAGGCGCGAGGGAGCTGTTAAAGGTTTATAGCAGTTAAATAAGGACAGTGCTGAAGGATTTCTGTCACTACTGTAGAGGAGCAGTAACTTTTACATGAAAAGCATAAACATGAACATTACTACTACTACAGTAAGTCATGTTGATTCAATAATAAAAAATAAATTTGAGGAAAAAATCCTCTATTCTCTCTACATTGCAAAGATGAATAACTTGATAGACAGTTCAGAAAGGGTTTCTTTTTTAAATTTTTCTAAATTTTTATTGAATCACTTTCACTGTCCTCCCGTTGGTCATCAATTTGCTTGAGCAGGCACCATTTATATCTCACAACAAATTGTGAGACTTGTTGTTACTGTTTTTGGCATATCGAATACGTCATAGGTAGCTTGCCAGGCTTTGCCATGAGGGTGAGATACTCTTGGTAGCTTGCCGGGTTCTCCCAGAGGGGTAGAGGAATCAAACTCAAGTCAGCCACGTGGAAGGCAAATGCCCTACCCGCTGTGCTATCGCTCCAGCCCACTGAATCATTGTAAACAAATAAAGTTGTTTACAATCGTTTATTACATTCAATATTCCAACACCACCATTACATCTTGCCACCACCATTATTTCCAATTTCCCCAACCACCACCCAAGCCTGCCCCAATAGTGGGCCCTAAATTATTGCTTGTGTTAAGATTGGTCACCATCACCATCCTCCCGTTGTTCATCGATTTGCTCGAGCGGGCCCAGTAACATCTCCATTAGAGACTTTGTTGTTATTGTGTTTGGCATATCGAATACATCATCAGTAGCTTGCCAGGCTCTGCCGTGCAGGCGAGATACTCTCAGTAGCTTGCCGGCTCTCTGAGAGGGGCAGAGGAATCGAACTAGGGTCAGCCATGTTGGCTGCGTGCAAGGCAAACACCCTACCGCTGTGCTATCGCTCCAGCCCCCGTGTTAAGATTAATTTGCTAAAAATAATCAAAAAATTTTCTTAGAAGAAAGTGTGTGAAGATTGTTGTATCTCACACTGAAGCTATCAAGCCCTTATATAAGAGATTATTAGCATGTTGTTACAAGTTAAGCTTTGTGTGTTAATATTTTCTTAATCGAGATTGGTTGCCTTCTTCTTTACATCCCATTAATGTGCTGTGCATCTCTTAGTATATCAGTTGTGTAGAGTATAAGATGTTGCTTCAGAAATTCTAAAATTTTTGTTGGGTGAGACAGCTGGGGTTAAATTTGTAACTGTATGGTGATTTGGAGGTCCAGAAATATCTCTGAAGATTGCTGATGTCTTTGGAGATTTATTTCTGATTCTCTGGATCATGGCCAGTTAATGAGCTTTTATGGTGCCAGAGGCAGTTCATGGGCATGGCTGCCAGGCTCCCAGAAGAACAGGAAGATGGCAGAAGGTCACCCATTCTCGCCTCCATGAGAGCCTGGAGATTTCCATCACAAAACTCACATACCTGAGGTTTTTTTTTTCTTTTTGGGTCACACCTGGCAATGCAAAGGGGTTACTCCTGGCTGTGCTCTGGGGACAATATGGGTTGCTGGGAATCGAACCCAGGTCGGCTGCCTGCAAGGCAAATGTCCTATCCAGTATGCTATTGCTCCGGTTTCTGACACATACCTGAGTTTTTCCACAGATTCATTCCTGGAGAGGATTGTTCAGGCCTGTGGAGCCTGGCCATGAGCATGGTGGTGATTTGTACAGAAAGGGTTTCTAAATAACACTCCCCATCAGATCCTTGACTATCCACAAAGCCCCAGACTTTGCCATATTCATCCTCCCTCCCATCACACTGCTCTCTTCCTTTGCAGCATGTTTTGCAGACATAGTGTATACTGTGCTCTCTCATTTTATGTTTTTGTATGTGCTGTGGCTGGCATATCTCTCCCCCATTTAAATACTTCCAATTTGCCTTTGAGGATTTATCTTAAATCAGCATTCTTGACATTTGCATGCCAGCTTTCTCAAGAAAGCGTCATTGTTTGACTGTGGGATTGAAGCGGGGGGATTTGCAGTGCACATTCTGTGAATGACACTACTGCGAGTTGTACTGTTCATAGTTAGCAAGAATGCACAAAGTAGTTATCCTCCCATGCCTTGACCACCAGCTCACCACCGCTTCTTTGGACGTCATTTATGCAAATTTTTATTCCAGTGTCTTAATAATTTATTTGAGGATTTTCTCCTGGACTATGAGTTTCTTGAGGGGTATAGGTTCTATTCTGTTTCTGTTCTATACGTTTCACACACTATTAAGCCTCCATTAATAGCCTGAGTAGTGGCTCCTGTGTAGAATGGGACAGAGCTTCTTCCAGGTGAATCTTTGGAGGGAGTCTCTTAATAGCTTAGTAATAGGTGCCTCAAAATTTAGTAAGAAAATCTGAAGATCGATAATTAAGGTAAGCTTGTAATAGGGCCTGAGGAGATAACTTACAGAGTAGAATACATGTATAGCATGTGTGGGGATCTGAGTTTATCCTCCAGACAGCATCAGAGCACCCACTGGAATAGCAAGGAGGGGACCCAGGTCTCTTGTGTACCTCTATGTATGGTCCCCGTAAAAAAATTTTTTTTGCTTTTCAGGTCACACCTGGAGAAGCACAGGGGTTAGTTCTGGCTCTGCACTCAGGAATAACCCTGGTGGTGCTCAGGGGACGATATGGGATGCTGAGAATAGAACCCGGGTCGGCTGCATGCAAGGCAAACTCCCTGCCTGCTGTGCTATTGCTCCAGCCCCTAAAAATAATTTTAACTATTATGTTAGACTAGGAAAAAATGTGGAGAAAGCTTGGTTACTAATAACACCTTGAACTCACGTCACTAGAATTCAAATGGAGTAGTGTGTTTATTCCCAAAATTTTTATTTTTGTTTTTTGTGTCACACTCAGTGTTGATCACTTTTACTTGTAGCCTAATGCTCAGGAATAACTCTTGGCAGGTTTCAGGAGACTTTTTGGGGTGTCAGGGACTAAATTCAGGTCAGCAATACGCAAGGCAAGCACATTACACTGCCCACTAGGCTATGTCTCTGGCCCCCAGTATTTTCCAAATTGAAAACCCCATTCTAAATTCTCAATTGCTGATTTTACTCTCATTTGTTTCCTTACTATTTAAAGAGTCAAAGCTTATAACATATCACACTCTTCTTTTGATCAGTTTGGGTTCACCTTAGAGCTAACCTTTTCTCCAGAGACCAAATTCTAGATTCTGTTTTTAGTAACTCTAGATTCTGTATTTAGAAAGTACTTATTATGAATTGAATGAAGACCTGACTGTGCCTGAGCCATGTTGCTTGAAGCCATTCTAATATCCATTTAGTTAGAACTATAACCACACTGAGTTATTGCTGGTCTCACATGGGTCCTGTATTCATAGTCAGCTCTTGGTTTAGACAAAAAAAAGTGTATTATCCCTGCTGTTACCCATCATATCTTTCATTTAATTAAGACTATTGTGCTTAGAAGCATGATTTTCCATCTATTATCCTACTTAAATTCTTTCAGCCACAGTCTGTACATTTGGCTGCATATTTTTCTTAGAAATAGGCTTTGTTGAAAATGATGCCCATTATCTGTTGTATATGTCTTCTAGGATTACGACATTTTGCTCTAACTAGGAAGGGAGATTTTTTTACATGAATGGACTTTGTAACCTTGCAATTTATTTTTACCAACATGAAAGCTACTGATTTTCTAGAAAGACTGAGGGCTCCAAAGGACAAGTATTCTTATTTAAATACCAATTATATTACTCTGTCACCTTTATTTAAGTTGTGATCTCCAATCCAAATGATTTCTCATAATACTCCTATTATATAGGCAAGTTTACTTAAGTTGAAAGAATTCAATAATTTCATCAAGGGACCATAAAGGTGAAAACTACAGAGTGACACCATTTAGATAACTCCCAAATGAATACTTCCTTCCATCTAATATAACTCTTTCTTGATAATCCCCGGGCATGATGGAGAAGGATATTCTACACTATGAAATTCACAGAAAACTGAGAATTAGGAACTAAATTTGAGAAAATCAATGTAAGGGATAAATAAGGAAAAATTGAGAATTCATTTCCAGTTAGGACCCAGAGAAACAGTTTTTGCAGATTTTTCAGTAAAAAATGACAGATTTGTTAAATACAGTGTTAAAGAAAGCAAAGAGTTGCATCAATTTATCTGAGTCAAACAAAATTCAGATATCAGAAAAAAAGAAAAATAGATATAAGTCCATGTGTAAGACTTTTCAGCTAGAAGAAATGCTAGTGTCAGACAATAGTCTCAAAAAGGCATTTCCTCAAAAATGAGGAAACTTTAATGTTTTTCTAAAGATATATCTATATGCTTGTGAACTTCCATCAAGGGGAGAAAAGGGAAGATTGTTGTCAGGAAGTTTTTAGTCTTGGTGGGAATGAATGATTATGTTTATATTAATTATCTTCTATTAGTGAAAAATTCATATGCCCTAGTCACTCTTATTTGAAACTATAAAATGATTACATAAATCTGAAAAGCAACTGTACTTTATTGATTTTGCAGAATAAAGAGGATGATTTGTGAGTCATAGAACCTTCATTCAGGTTTGGAAGAAAACAATGAATGCCGAGATGCCAGACAGCCACTGAGATCCATGGACAGATCCACACTCACGCATCTTTCTCGAAACTTAAGATTTATTAATAATATGCTGCCTCTGAAAGAAGACAATAAACTAGTGCCAAGAAGGCATATTCTTCCACATCTGGAGTAGACCTGCTTTCAACACAATGGCTTCAAAGGTCTCCTGTTTATATGTTTTGACAGTTGTGTGCTGGGCCAGTGCTCTCTGGTACTTGAGTATAACTCGTCCTACTTCTACCTACACTGGCTCCAAGCCATTCAGCCACCTAACAGTTGCCAGGAAGAACTTCACCTTTGGCAATATAAGAACTCGACCTATAAACCCACATTCTTTTGACTTTCTAATAAATGAGCCCAACAAATGTGAGAAAAACATTCCTTTCCTTGTTATCCTCATCAGCACTACCCACAAAGAATTTGATGCCCGCCAAGCCATCCGAGAGACCTGGGGGGATGAGAACAACTTCAAAGGGATCAAGATTGCCACTCTTTTCCTCCTGGGTAAGAATGCTGATCCGGTTCTGAACCAGATGGTAGAGCAAGAGAGCCAAATTTTCCACGATATCATTGTGGAGGATTTTATTGACTCCTACCATAACCTAACCCTCAAAACATTAATGGGGATGAGATGGGTGGCCACTTTTTGCTCAAAAGCTAAGTATGTCATGAAGACAGACAGTGACATTTTTGTAAACATGGACAACCTTATTTATAAGCTTCTAAAACCCTCCACCAAGCCAAGAAGAAGGTATTTTACTGGATATGTCATAAATGGAGGCCCAATCCGGGACGTCCGCAGTAAATGGTATATGCCCAGGGATTTGTACCCTGACAGTAACTACCCACCATTCTGTTCAGGGACTGGCTATATCTTCTCAGCTGATGTGGCTGAACTCATTTACAAGACCTCACTCCATACAAGGCTGCTTCATCTTGAAGATGTATATGTGGGACTGTGTCTTCGGAAGCTGGGTATCCATCCTTTCCAGAACAGTGGCTTCAATCACTGGAAAATGGCCTACAGTTTGTGTAGGTATCGCCGAGTTATCACTGTGCATCAGATCTCCCCAGAAGAAATGCACAGAATCTGGAATGACATGTCAAGCAAGAAACATCTCAGATGTTAGGATTTTTACCGATGTATATATGTGTTTCTTTTCTTTTTTGAGAAATGAGGCTGAGGGTGTTGGTATTTTACATGTGTCACCAAAAGAAATATTTTGGTGAAGGGGTTTTGTAAGGAGGTGTTTTTTTTTCCTTCTCATTCCTAGTTCCTTTCTTTGATTACCAATTTGCAAGTGTTAGGTTTGTGTTATAGAAACAAAATATGAGGTATAGGGCCTGATTATGTCCTAAGGTCCTGAGGCATTGCCATTTATCAGCAAAAGCAACTGCCTAATGACTGTTAGTATTTACTTACTGTGCAACTGAGATAAAAATCTGGTTCTGGGAAACTGAAAGTCACAATCATGTCTTAATATCATCTATGTAAAAATAATCCAAATCAAAAACAATTTAGAAGTGAGGTGCAGTCAGGAAGACACACTTGATGTGATTATTTATAATGTGTATGCTGTTGCGTTGAATTTTTTCCTATATTGCCATGTAATGTATAAGGTATTTTCAGTTCCACCAAGAGATGAACTTAGTACTGGCAGGGAGGCTACAGTTAAATAAATACAAATTTAAACTTCAGAATCAAATATACTACATATTTGCAAGATATCTCTGCTTGCTCATGCAAGGATTAAGCTTGGTCAGTGGGTAAAATGTATGTAAAATGTTACTTAACAAAATGAATAAGAATTTTTTTTGCTCTTTCAGAACAGACATTACATGGTGCCTCCAAAGGAGACTGCCAAATGTAATCTTACCTACTACCTTCCATAATCTGTTGATAACTGTTTTTTTACAATCTGTTCAGGCAGGTATATGTAGAGAAGTAAGTTGGTAAGACGCCAGAAAAACAATAAATCACTTGGGAAAAAAATGAACACTTATGTGTGAATTATAATGAATATAATCTTAGCAATAGTATGTCTTTCCCTCACACTTGCAAAGCATGTGAGAAAATCTTTGAACAGGTGTCACTGTTACTGAATGATTCAGCCCTAGAATATATAGATGCAAAATTTTCTAACATCCCAAACAGCTGAGTACCTCTCACAACTGCTGTCAGGAGGTGTTTTCAAGGCTTTGTGTTTGAGGTTCTTGGGGAAAAATGGTGGGAAGCTTGGTTGATAAAACTTACACGCTGGGTCATGTGAATAGACATCCTGGCCTTGCTGTGCTTCAATGTGATCAGTTATAAAATGACTAGGAAAAAACACCTACCTCACAAGTGCTGTGAGATCAAGTTGCATTTGCTAAGTGTTTGGAGTTCCTTAGTTAAAAAGGTGCTACAATAATGTAGTGTATAATGCATTATGCTAAATGCTAAAATTGTTTCATAATTACTTTGGTGATCATTAATAGTCATTCACACCATTTTAGTATGAAAACCTGTCAAGATAAAGATCAAATATGAACATTTAGAGCACCTGGTCCTTCTAAGATGCTGACTCTTATTCAGATTTAAAGTTAGTAGTTTAGGGCTGGAGTGATAGTACAGCAGGTAGGGCATTTACCTTGCATGTGGCCAGCCCAGGTTTGATTCCCAGCATCCCATATGGTCCCCCAAGCCTACCAGGAGTAATTCCTGAGCGAAGAGCCAGGAATAATCCCTGAGCATCGCCGGGTGTGACCCAAAAAGCAAAAAGAAAGAAATAAACTTAGTAGTTTAAAAAAGCCACAGCTTCACTGTAATTTCTTCTGGTTTCAAGAAATATTATTTCTTTAGTGCATTGCCTTGACATCCAGGATGCTTGCTGAAAGTGAAGGTATCTGCCTTGCTTTGGGAAGAACTCTCTGATGGAACATCTAGTACAGTAATTGAAGAATCTGCTTTGCAAAATGTATTAGTTTCAATCTCAGGAAACATTTGATCTGAACTCCCTTGATAACTTTGAAAACAGGTAGAGTGAGTCCACTTTAGCAAAAGAGTAGGCATTCTGTAAACCCATGCATTGCATATATACCATTTATAAAAACATTTGTTTTCAGTCTAAGAAAGTCCCCACATTGAAAGAGTACAATTTTGTACTGTTGTTCTTCTTTAACCTGACCCTTGGAAACTATCTAGAAGTTTATTTATCTGCTGTTAAATAAAATTGATAAATTAAAGTCATAACTGATTTCTTGAAAACACTGGATCTGTCATTCCCATTTCTTAATCTATATGCATTTTAGACTTATCAGTAATGCTGATAATTATTACAAAACAGAATTAGATAGTCTGGAGAAAGACAGATCAACACAAACCCCAGCCTTCAACTGCTGAGTTCCAATCACTTGAAAAGACTCGTGACTTTGTACTTGGTTCACCTCCCAGTCATGCAGCAAGTTAAGCCTTTGTTTCCATGTACCTTATGCTAGTCAAGCTACCCTCAGTGTAATGGAATTTTACATTATAAATATCATATATGTACATCTATAAATTGGTGTGTGTACATAATGGATAAAGCCCTACTCTTTAAAAGGAGCAAAAATCAGAGAAATGTATGTCCTAAAGAACTGTTTCTTAACTTTTTTAATGCTAGGTAGTTCCCATGTGACAAACATGTATATATTCATCAAGGCCACGTGTACATATTTTAAAGTCATTTTTTTCTTCTTCCCAACTCTTTGTATAACTAGGATTTGCTTGCTGTGTAACATTTTCTTCTGCATGGAGCTTGGTGAGGTCATTTGTCCAGTGTTTTAATAGGCTACAGCATGTTTCCTCTTCGTTTTTTTGAATGTTCAAAAGAGTTTAAGTCAGGTGATCAAGAAAAGTCTCTGATTTTCTGCTTTGGTTAATTGTATTGCACTGGTCAATTCATGGTTTTACTTGTTTGAAATTAAAAGCCATTTTTTAAAAATGACCATTTCTCTAACTAAAAGCGTTTCAGACTATTTTGCATTAGGTATCATTCAAACCATTTTTATGAAACCTCTTTGTATCCCCAGCTGTTCTATTCATTTTGTAATGGATAGCAAAAGGGATCAGTAACCAGTTACTATATTATTAAAATTTCATTTTTTAAATTTAATTTTGGAAAAAACGTTTAACTTCGTAGGCTAGTTTGTGTGGCTTTGTGTCTTCTTATTGGAGAAAATACCAGTTTCAGTACATCATGCTATATTTTTAAGTTATCAAAATAAAAGAAGATCATTTCTGATTTGGACTAAATTCAGAAGAACAAAACCCCTTTGTGTGATATGATATGTGAAAAACAAACTCTTGACAGAGAAATTCAGGATGGAGTTTTTCAGTCAAATCTCTTCTATCAAAAGATAATGGAATATTTGCATAGAGCATCTGGGATTCATTTTATACCTTTCCTAATATGTGGGTTTAGTGGGGAAATTGATTATGTCATTTATTCTGTAAAAGTGAAGATAGTTTTTATAAGCAATAAAGTAACTTGTGAATGAAAGAAGTAATTTACTAGAAACGCTTGTTGATGATAATTGACAATTAGGTATACTGTTATATATGAATGATTGTATTTATGTATTTATTTGTCAAAATTGTACATACTATTTCGCCAAACGTAATTGTCTGTAAAAGTGCACTCTCCAGGTTTGTAGTACTATTTAGGGTTACATGGGTTGCCAATAAAGCTGCTAATCAGAAAACTATTTTTTGTATCAATGTTATAAAACTGAAAAATGATAGATACTGAAGATGTCTTTACAGTCAGTTTCTTCACCTTTCTCTTGAAAATGTAAACTGTTGATTGAAAGCACGATGCTAATGTATAAGCCCATATGTCATGAGGAAGATTACGGTTCCATAAAGCTAATTTTTTAAACCACTGGGACAAATAAATCGAAGGCGAACATATTTTGTAGTTTGTTTTATTTTTCTGAAAGAATCTTTTTGATTATATATGATCATAAAAATTATCTGATGAATAGTCATTTATCATTAACCTTCTCCATAACCTTCCTATAGGTAAGTAATTCAAACCATCAGAGCTCATCTGCTTTAGCCCAATGCAGCTTGAAAGTTAATTTAGGAATGATTTGGCCTGGCAGTTCTTAGACTAACTCAGAATGTGGGAAATCTAAGTCCTCTGCCCCGTTTCAGTCTCAGAGAAGTCTGTGTTTAAATATTTTGGATTGAACATGCCAACACATTCCAGCACAGGGAGATGATATTGATAACCTTCTTGGTTAATCAAGTGTTAAAGAAAAAACTGTGTCCTTATTGTTCGTGGTGTGTGACCTTTAAAATAGTACATACTATTTTAAGTTTGACCAAACTAAAAAAATTCTGCTCAAGCATTCCTTATAGCAGACAAGTAGTTGCTGATTGCTGATAACTGACTTTGTAAAAAGAGACTAACAGCTATTTAAGAAACAGAGTTCCTTATAAACCCTATCTCTTCTGGATAAATAGGCCATCAGTTTTTAATAGAACTTTTTAATTTTTGAATTAATTTCTCTTGTACTTTAGAGTATAAAATGTAAGATCTATCAGGTGAGTTGAACTATGTAAGTGACAAACATTTATATTTAAGGTGGGGTTTGAAAAAGACCTCAATAGATTTTTAACAAAGAACATTTACATCAAATGAGGATGCGTTATAAATTCAAATCCTTGGGTCCCATATGAATTTGGGAGGTGAAGCTCAGCAATCTACTCAAATTATCTCAGGTGATTCTGAAGAACCTTAAAGTTGAGAATACTAACAGAGGTTGACAAACCACACTCTCTACACCAGCATTCTTCAAACTTCTGACACCTATGGACTGGCACCTGTTCTGCATATTGTTCCATGGACCAGCAGTCATAACCATAGGGATAAACAAGTGGTTTTCAACCTTTTTACACCTGTGGACAAGCTTTAGTCCAGGTATGGTGGTTAAAAAACACTGCTCTAACCCACATCTAGTTTGCTGTCCACGGATATGAGAGATTTCTCCTGCTGAATATCAGGAATGACCATATGATTGGGATATTGACATTGAACCCCCAATTAAGCAATTATTATCCTAACAATAATCATTTAATTCATATAGTAGATGTGTGTTGCAAAAAATAAATAATAATTGTACTCAACCCTTAGTTTACTTTAAAGCCTATAGTAACTGTGGAAGTGTGTTTATTATTATTTTATATACTTTGATTTTGCCTGAAAGGTTTACTGTTTATTATCTGATCCTTTCCAAGAAAAGTTTGCCAACCTCTGACTTAAAGAATCAGGAAAAAAAGGTGCTGCTTCATCAGAAAGAAAAGGGTGCTGCCTAAAAAATTTCTCTGAAAATAATAAGTCATGTCAACAGTGCATTCTGGAATTGTCTCCATGCAGTCAGGGGAAATGATAATGTAGTCATGATAACTAATTGCTTTAAAAACTGACAGCTGCTTATATTTTAAAAATATTTCCTTTTTTGCAGAGTGATTTTTAAAAATTATAAAAGCTTGATTTTAATTGTGACAATTATCCAAAGCTTAATTAATATATTGCTAAAAGATGTGTGGGTATTAGACCTAAGAGGGTGGGTTTCATATAGCTTGATTATCATAATTACAAGCATTCTATTTTCTCATTTA